ATTTATTTCTAGGAGAGAGAGAGAGAGAGACAGCGTGAGCAGGGGAGGGTCAGAGAGAGAGGGAGACACAGACTCCGAAATAGGCTCCAGGCTCCGAGCTGGCAGTCAGCACAGAGCCCGACGCGGGGCTCGAACCCACGAACCGTGAGATCATGACCTGAGCGAAAGTCGGACGCTTAACCAACTAAGCCACCCGGGCGCCCCGATGAAAATTTTTTTTAACATTTATTTATTTTTGAGAGAGAGAGAAATTAAGTTTTTAATGTTTATTTATTCTTGAGAGACAGTGTGAGCAGGGGAGGGTCAGAGAGAGGAGACACAGAATCTGCAGCAGCTCCAGGCTCTGAGCTGTCAGCACAGAGCCTGACGTGGGGCTTGAACTCACGAAGTGTGAGATCATGACCTGAGCCGAAGTCAGACCCTTAACCGACTAAGCCCCAGGCCCCCCGGCGTGTGACACATTTCTAACTCGTGTTCAGACGGCGTGAAGTTTCCTCCGTGTCTACGACTCGGAGCTTTGCTGTGTCTACCGTGGGTCCCTGTTCTCTTCCCAGGGGAAGGCAGAGAGGAGATTGTGAAGGTGACGTTTGAGGAGCTGCGGCAGCAGGTGGCCTTGTTTGCGGCGGCGATGAGGAAAATGGGTGTGAAACGAGGAGACCGCGTGGCCGGTAAGTGTTTTGGGTTCTTCTTGTGGTTTGGGGGAGAGACTGAGGTGGAGTGAGCGGCTTGGAAGGTTGAGGCAGCCGTTGGACAAGTGGCGGGTTACGACAGCCCTGCAGGACTTGGGTGATCCGTGCTTGGTGGAGGATAGGTGACGAAGGAAGGTCACAGTGTGTGGAGTGGGGAGGGACATTCCGGGCCACAGGAGCAGCCTGTGCAAAGGCCCGGGAGTTGGTGGGGTTGGGCACCTCCCAACTGGGAAGGGAGTCCTGGCTCCCACCTGCCTTTGTTCTCTCTGCACCTGGCACTGAGTCTTGCCTTCCCTCTGAGCACAAGTCAGGTGTTTTCTTACAGTTTTCCTTTCAGTTTGCCTCCTGGGGAAGGTTCACAGGCCTGTGTGTGCACCTGTGCTCTGCCTCAGGGACCTCAGTTACTTTAGAGGTGGGTGGGCGTGTCCTCAGGGCGAGCAGGGGAGATAAGAGGACCTACCCTCCAGCAGGCGAGGTGCCGGCCTGCCTCCCTCCGCCCCCCCCCCCCCGGCCGAGGGCAGGTGGCCATGGGAGAAGCGCCTTTCCTGGGGGACTCCGCGCAGGCGGGCTCAGTGCGTGTTTGCTAAGAGGGTGGCCTTATGTGTAACAATAGGGCTGTGCCCGCGTCCCCTCCCGTGACAGCCGGTGCGGAGCCTCTGCTCGCATGTCAGCTGATGGGGCAGGGTGCAGACAGGGAGGGCCCCCGCAGCCCGTCGGCCTGGGCGGGGCTGTGCTGCATGCCCGGGCTTCACACGCCAGCGAGGCCCTGCCCCCAGCCCCCGGGAAACTGTCGGCGCTCTCTGCGTGCCCCTGCGCCTGCTCACGTTCCTCAGTGGACCTCGTTGCCCATCCAAAATCTGGGGCTTGTGTGTGTGTGTGTGTGTGTGTCCGTGCATCTGGCCTCTGGCGCTGGAGGACGGGCTGTGTCCTCTGTGCACGGCTGCGGCGCTGTCCACAGGGCGGCCGGCGTGCGGTGGGCATGTGGTGGGCACCTGCGGGCGAGTGTGTGCGAGCGCAGGCCTGGTTGTAGCAGGCGCCATGTGCATGAAGCCTCCGTATCCAGGTTCCAATTATACTTCAGTCTACCCTTTCAAGGTCTAGAAAAGGCATTCAGATGGTTCTTCTTCTCTCCAGTTTTTTTTCTTTCCTCCAATTTTCATCAAAATGAACCTCTTTTTTTTTGTTCTTTTTAAAAATAATTTTATAGATTTTTTTTGTTTTGTTTTATTTATTTCTAGGAGAGAGAGAGGGAGACAGCGTGAGCAGGGGAGGGTCAGAGAGAGAGGGAGTCACAGACTCTGAAACAGGCTCCAGGCTCTGAGCTGGCAGTCAGCACAGAGCCCGACGTGGGGCTCGAACTCACAAACCGCGAGATCATGACCTGAGCGAAAGTCGGACGCTTAACCGACTAAGCCACCCAGGCGCCCCCCAAAAAAATTTTATTGTTTATTATGAAACAGAGAGAAATAGAGGATGAGCAGGGGGAGGGGCAGAGAGAAAGAGGGAGACACAGAATCTGAAGCAGTTCCAGGTTCTGAGCTGTCAGCACAGAGCCCAAAGTGGGGCTCGAACCCATGAACCATGAGACCATAACCTGAGCCAAAGTGAGACGCTCAACCGACTGAGCCACCCAGGCGCTTCAAAACAAACCTCTTTTTGAAGCAAATGTTTTCTGAAGGAAGGGGACATGGAGAGCACAGACCGTGCTTTCACAGAAGGACGTCCCGGCAGTGTAAAGTGAGGCCGGTGCCCGGCCCTCATGAGGTTCTCAGCCTGGACGTGGACTTGACCCGAGCGTGGTTCCAGGACTGGGGGCCAGGGAATGACTTCAAGGACAGGGGACGCAGGGACACGCCTGAGGGGCTACAGGCACTCACAGGGCTGCTCTGGTGGCTTCTCTGGTCTGACTGTGGCCGGGCCTGGCGCCAAGCAGGGTGTGTGGCCTCCTTGGGGTGGGTCCCGCCCCACCCTGCCCCAGGGACACTGCCGTTCACATGGTAAACTCAGGAGATGCAGATGCTGGGCACAGCCCGGGCTGACCCTCGCCCTTGGCCCCCTACCCCCCTGGCTGCAGGGAGGCACAGCATTCGGAGAGGCAGAGGTCCTGGCCGTGCTGGTCACATGGGCAGTGCAGCGGCACGGGCAGGGAGGCAGGGGGGAGCTGTGCCGGTGCTGAGACTGCAGGCATCTCTGGTCGCCGAGGGGCCTGTCCCCTGATGCCGCATGTCTGCTCCTTTCCTCTGGGACATTTAGGGCCGTCTCTTTAGTTGACCAGAGCCCCTTTGTTGTCACCACAGCCCAGCCTCCCATCTCAAGCTTTCTGGGTTTCCCGACTGTCCTGCCCGTAGTCATCATTCCCCCGTCGCCTCTCCTTCCCCCTTCTGTTTGTCTCCCTGTCTGTCCATCCATCCCTCTACCCATCCATCTGCCAGCCAGCTCACCCGTATCGGCCTTGATATGCGGGGCTTGGTCAAAGGTATTTGGTGAAGCAAAGGACAAGATGGGCCAAGTCCCTGGCCTCCTGTGAGAATCAGACATGAAATTGGCAGTTATGATTATTAGACACGGGTGACTCTTATGGTAAATTTGGTGAGGGAGAAATAGAGCGTGCTTTGTGGGGACTGGCCAGGGAACCTGAGTTTACTGGGGGGCCTTAGAAAAGGCGTCTCCGAGAAAGTCTCATTTCCGTTAAGAGTTAAATAATGAGTTTGCAGAGTCAGGAAGGCTGGTAGTGTGTGAAAGAGCACTGAGGCAGAACAGACATTCTATGCAAAGGCCCTGGGGCAGGAGGAGTTTGGAATAACTGGTGTGTGTGGAAGGGTGTTCAGGCAGAGAAGACAGGCTGTGCAAAGGCCCTGGGGCAGGAGGAGCTTAGAACAACTGGAGAACTGGAGTAGGAGGTAGAGAGGAGGAAGAGGAGGCTGGGGCTGGCTCCTGCCGGGCCGTGGGGATCCCTCTGGTTAGATTGGGTTGGAAGGGGTGACAGTAATGTCATGGACAGGTAAGGGGTAAGCGATGGGGCCATGGGAATGGAGAAGTCAAGGCAGCCTGGCAGAGGTGGGGCTGGCCACGCTCCTGGGGCTGGTGGAAGCCAACTCCTCTCCCCACTCCTGCCCCGGCTCTCAGGGGCCTTTTGGAATTCCACCACATGCGACATGCCCTGAGCCCAAGTCCTTCTCCCTGTGCCCGATCACAGGGTATTTACCCAACAGCGTGTACGCCGTGGAGGCCATGCTGGCGGCAGCAAGCATCGGCGCCATCTGGAGCTCCTTGTCCCCAGACTTCGGCATGAACGTGAGTTGGGGTCCCCGCTGAGGGACGCCTGTGTGCCCCATGGGTGCCCTGGGGGCGCAGCCGCCGGCCGCAGAGACAGTCCCGTGGGGTTTCCTGACGTCGTGGGTGGGGGTGTGGCGGCTGTGGCGCAGGACTGGCCGGCGGGGCAGGAGACACTGTTGGTGACACGGGAGCGATGGAGGAGACGGATCTTGAGCACCTGAGTCTTGGTTTTAAGTCCACAAACCAAGTCCTGGAGTCACTGGCATCCTGTCCCCGTGTGCACACGGCACGGGCGCATGGGGGTCTCGCTGGAGAGGCTCGGTCACCTCTCGATGTCTCTGTCCGGCAGACAGTCATCTGGCTTTGCTCACGGACAGTCCCTGAGGCCTCCTTGCGCCCATGTCTTTCCCTGCGGTTTCTTTTTTTTTTCTTTTTATTAATTTTTTTTATGTTTTCTATTTATTATTGAGACAGAAACAGAGCATGAGCAGGGGAGGGGCAGGGAGAGAGGAGACACAGAATCTGAAACAGGCTCCAGGCTCTGAGCTGTCAGCACAGAGCCCGACGCGGGGCTTGAACTCCCCAACTGTGAGATCATGACCTGAGCTGATGTCTGACCCTTAACCAGCTGAGCCCCCCAGGCGCCCCTCCCTGTGGTTTCTGATCCCTTCCTCTGGGTCTGTGCTCCGTGTGGGAAGGGGTGGGGGTGTCTTTATCTCTGTGGAGCTGAGGGGACGAAGGACGCAGGTGCTCCCAGCCTCCAGAGGGCGCGGGCAGGGGTGGGCGGGGAGCGCAGCCCCTGTGGAGAACAAAGCAGAGCAGGACTTATCGGGGCCTCTGCCCCCCGCAGGGCCCTTCCTGGGTGCAGGGCTGTGGAGATGTGGGTCCCTCAGGAGCCGCCAGGAGGGACCCCAGTTAGAGGACATGGTGGCATCCGTGACCCCAACCGCGCTCCCTGGCGTCAGGTGTTTTGCTCCCAGCCGGGTCCCTGCTCGGGGCACCAGCCCGCGTGGCTCAGTGCCGAGGCCTTCCTGACCGCTGACCGAGCCGTTTACCCTCCTGCACAAAGCAGGGACGGTGGGTGGGGCTGTGGGGGGCGGGCGGGTAGGAGGCTGGGCCGCGAGCTGAGGCTGGCGCACGTCGCCTCCAGGTTCAGCCGCTCGCGACGCTGGAGCCCAGTGCTCTGCGGCCAGGCCGTGTCGGCTGCAGGGTAGGCCTTCGGGTACGAGCTTGAAAGTCACGTCCGCCTCGAGGTTTCTGTCCTGGTAAAGGTGGTCCAGGTGGGTCACCACTCCCCCACGCCGTGCGGGGGAGGAGCCTGGAGCGGCGAAGGGACTGGCTGGGCTGCGGTGAGGACCGGGCTCTGCTGAGTTCTGGGAGCAGGTGGCCGCCCGGACCTCACTGCTCCGCGGTGGTTTTCCTCCCGGGGCCTCCCTGTGCCCGTGCCCGTCGCCCCCCTGAGGACCGCCGCGGAGCAGCCAGGCTGGAGGTGGCCCTGCGGCCTCCGGTGCCCCGGGCCCTCGGCGAGGCCGTGAGCTGCGGAGGCAGCGGCACCTCGCGGGACGGTGCCCAGGCCTGTCCCCGCGGCCCCCCAGCAGCTCTTGAGCTGTGTGTTCGGCAGTGGGGTCGAGAAGGCAGTGTGGCCTGGCAGTTCCTGCCCAGGTCCGGCCCTGGCTTTGCCGCCTCCGTGCCGTGTCCCCCGTGCACCCTGTGGGGAGCCGCTGAGGGCTACAGACCTGATGCTGTGTGGGGCTGGGGGCCGTGCGTGACGCACCCCCAGGTCACCGCGTGTTAGCCTGTGTTGGTGAGGCGGGTGCTCCTGAGTGACGCTGGAGCTTGGAGCCCGTCACGAGGGTGCTGGACGACGATGCAGTCCTTCCCTGGCCCAGGTGTCTCCTGAGGTGCCCCCTGCCTGGGGACAGCCTCTCCCCTGCCGCCAGCTGTGGGACCTGCCCCTGCGGCCGCCCCCGTGGGGAGCCCTCTTACCACTCTGGCCTCAGCCTGCCCGCCCTAGAATCCTGGGCCCAGAAGGGCGCCTGGGGGGCTCAGTGGGTTGAGCGTCCGACTTCGGCTCAGGTCATGATCTCACGGTTGGCAGGTTCCAGCCCCGTGTCGGGCTCTGTGTTGACAGCTCAGAGCCTGGAAGCTGCTTTAGATTCTGTGTCTCCCTCTCACTCTGCCCCTCCCCTGCTTGTGCTCTGTCTCCGTCTCTCAAAAAAATAAGTAAACATTATAAAACATTAAGAAAAAGAATCCTGAGGTCTAAGAATCCTCTGTGCTTGGCTGTATCAAGTTTGTACATTGCCACCATGCCTTTTATCAGCCTACTGGTTTTCCTGGTGATTCTCATGAGTTTTCTGCTTGACTTCCTGTCACCTGCGCTGACCAACTGCCTGATCATCAGGCCTCCCCCCGCTTCCCACCTCCCGGTGGTGTGAGGCTGCCGTGTTCCTGGGAGTTCCTGGCTCACTGCTTGTGCCCTTGGAGTGGCCCGGGTGTCGGTCGTGAAGTGCTGGCCTCGGACGGACGAGTGTCCAGGCCGGTGCCTCCCCAGGTGCCATGTTTGTGGATGAGGAGGGCGCCACCGTGGTCTGACCCTCAGCTTGTCCCAGGTGCCCGTCAGCATCAGGATGGAGCTGTACCCGCATGGGAGGCGCTGGGCAGGAAGGCGGGATCCGTGCGTGGGGAGCCTGCCTCTCAAACGGGGCGTATTTACGAGGATGCGCGTTTATAGGGTTGTGCATTTGGGTGGCAGAAAGTGCCGTTGGGAGGATTCGTGCCTCTCAACTCAAGATTAGGAGACGCTCCGCAGAGCTACAGCTGCCTGTTTGGACGGTGAGCCTTCTGCAGAGTGGGGGACCTCCTGGTAGCACAGGTCCTCACCCCACGCGTCCCCATTTCACACACTTGCGCTTTGCCAATCCAGCGCATGTCTGTGTCTTTATGCAGACGCTTTCCCAGAGTGGCTGACTCTCACTTCTCAGGTGCGAGTCGTGGTTTGCTCGGCTTCTGCATCGGCCACGGGTGGGGGGACACAGGCAGGCGCCTGGCGCTCCAGCAACACGCTGCCGTGTTCCCAAGACGCGGCCCCTTGGCTTTTGAAGGCATGACTGATGGCGACCTCCGCCCCCCCCCCCCGGCAGGGTGTTCTGGACCGCTTCTCTCAAATCCATCCCAAGCTCATCTTCTCCGTGGAGGCGGTCATGTACAACGGCAAGGAGTTCAGCCACATGGACAAGCTGCAGCAGGTGGTGAAAGGTGCGTGGCTCTCCCCAGTGTGAGTGCAGGGAAGGGGCAGCGAGCAGGGGCAGGGGCCCCCCAGAGGCAGGAACGCCCCTGAGCCACCAGCGGCAAACCTGTGACGCCCCATCTCTTGCTTGGGTTATGCCTGGGGGAACCACAGCCGCCCCTCCCCCTCCTCCAGGACTCCCAGACTTGAAGAGGGTAGTGCTGATTCCATACCTCACCCCGCGAGAGAAGATAGACCTTTCCAATATCCCGAATAGGTAAGCCAGAGCGCGGATCACTGGGTCCCCGTGAGCCCACCGGGAGTCCCCCGGGAAGCAGGTTCTTGACCCCTTCCTCTCGGGGCTGTGGCATTTTAGAGGCGCAGGGGATTTCAGTTAAAAATCACTTCTTGTGGGGGCTCTTGGGGAGCTTAGTCGGATAAGTGTCCGAGTCTTGATTTCCACTCAGGTCATGATCTCATGGTTTGTGGGTTCGAGCCCTTCTCGGACACTGTGCTGACAGCACAGAGCCTGCTTGGGATTCTCTCTCTCCCCTCAAAATATATAAACTTTAAAATTAAAAATGGAAGTCATTCTTGTAGATGGACACCTGAGGCCCCAGAGTGAAGCCCCAAGGCCGCAGAGCGACGTGGGGTCGGCCGCAGGGATGCTCTGTCTTTCTCTCTGCCGTCCCTTTGCAGTGTCGGGTCAAGCCCTGCTCCCCGACTGAATGGAAATGAACGTGTGCATGTGTGTGTATGCATGTGCACCCACGGGTATGTGTGTGAACGCAACTGTGGGTGCACCTGACTGTGCACATGTGATCAATTTCCCTCTCAGAACCGAGTTTTGTCCTTACTGTCAGGAGCGTCTTCTTCTGTTTCTCTGACATTTATAAGCTGGTGCAACACGAGCCCTAAGTGGCAAACAGTATTGTGAGCCGTTTATTTTGGAACAGGAATTGAGGAAGCGGGTCGTGGTTTAGGCAGAGTTGAATTTGTCTCCAGACTCTCGGAGCTGTACCCCTTTCCCCTCCCTGAGACAGCCTTGGGGAGAATTCCGCGGTCAGGTGCCGTTCCCTGTGCAGGCGCCCCTGTCCCTTTAGCTCTGTGTGGGGCCGTGGCAGGAACCTGGCGGGCGGCCCCTCGTGGGAAGTGGCCCGCAGGCGCGCAGTGGGGTCTTTGTGTCACGTGGGGGGGTGGGGAGGACTTTCTTGGAGGCAATGAGGGGCAGAGGAGGAGGGAGAGGGGGAGAGAGAGAGAGAAAGAGAGAGAGAGAGAGAGAGAATCTCAAACAGGCTCCATGGCCAGCACAGAGCCCAACATGGGGCTTGATCTCATGATCCTGGGATTGTGACCAGAGCAAAATCAGGAGTCAGACACTCAACTGCCTCAGGCCCCCAGGTGCCCCGCAGGCAGACGGTGTGGTCTGTGCCGGCTGCTCTCGGGCACCCAGGGGTGCCGTGCTCAAGGGGCTGTGGTTTCGAGGGAGGAACGGGCCACAGCTGCGGGAACAGGAGCCATGACCGCTAGGCCCGGGTGACACAGCCCTGCTCACGCAGCCGGGGGGGCAGGAAGTGCCCAGGGGCTGAGAAGGGTGTGGGTGGGGTCTGGGGAGGTGGCACCTATGGTGACCCTGAGAGACGGGCAGGGGCTGGGGACGCCTGTCTGTGTCCAGATTCCAGAGGCCGTAGGCACTGCCTGCAAGGCGCCCTTCCCTGTGGGCTATGCTCTCAGGCGGACTCAGGTCCAGATGTCAGCTGTGCGACCCGGTGTGAGGGGCTGACCTGTGTGTGCCCTGGGCCCCCATCTGTAGAGTGGGGGCAACATCACCTTCTTCACGGGCTTGCTGGGAGCGTCACATAAGGGAGCGCTGGGCCAGGTGCACTCAGGCGTCAGCCCTCAGCAGGGGTGCCTGTGCTGGTGAGCAGGTGACAGACAGGCGATGCCGCGGGCTGGGGTGGGGGTGCTCTGTTCCGTGGAGCGTCCGGGTCGGAATGTGCAGGGCCTGACGGGCAGGCCTGGGGCTCGGACTTGTCCCTTGTGCTGGGGGAACCCGCCCACTGGGATGCGTTCCAGCCGGACACAGGGCCCTGGTCCTGTTCACACTGCAGACTCCGCTCCCCGCTTTATGTTGGGGCGTCACGCACGGGAGCCACAGCTCTCATCCTTCTCACTGTGTTCATCAGCAGTCGGTGTGAAGTGAGAGTGTCCAGCATCACACATGCCCCTTCGCTCAGCTCGATGCCGCGCAGGCCCCCCTCCCCCGCCGTCCCCCAGGGGGCCCGCCTCCCCTGCTACCCGCCTCTGCATGGCCGGATGCCGCGGACACACTAAGAACATGGACGTGCCCGTGTCTGAGACCCGGGGGGGGGACCACCCTTTGGGGCTTTCAGTTTTAGAAGAGTAACAAGAGTAATTGCTCTTTACTGTGATTTATACACACTGTTCGGAAGGAAAGGCTTTTCTCTGTGTGCGGCGTCCGATTAGATCGGGCGCTTTGTGTGCCTGGGATTGGGATGGGAGGTGAAGGAGGCGGGGGCTCTCAGTGGCTGGAAAGTTCCACAGCGAATAATTTCCCTGCCGCCGCGGAGCAGAAGGCGTTGTTTGTCTGCCGCTCAGAGTGGAATTATCTGGGTGCCCTTCTCGAACCCCCAGTGCGACCCAGCCGGTCTCTCACTCTGGAGTGTGTAGAGTAATTATCCCTAGCAGACCGCTGCGGGCTGAGTGTAACCGATTCTCCCCTTCCCTGAAAGAGACGAAGTTCCATTTGTCAAACAGCAGGACCCCCCTCCCCCCACCCCCGCTTCTCCCTTTGAAGCCAGTGGGTGGATGGGCCAGGGTCCCTGTTCCCGCTGGTCTCGAAGTAGACAAGGCACTTCTCCCAAGAAGGCCCTGCAGCTTCAGCAGCTCCGTTTCGGCCGGAGCGCAGGGCTGCGTCTCCTCGCTGGTTTGGCCCCACGTGTTGGTTCTTTATGTCAGCTCTGCGCGCAGCTGCCTTAGGCGGCAGTCAGTAGCCGGGCTTCATCTTTCCTTTTTTTTTTTTAATTTACATCCCAGGCAGTTAGCATGTAGTGCAACAGTGATTTCAGGAGTAGATTCCAGTGATCTGTCCCCTACGTATAACACCCGGTGCTCATCCCAAGTGTCCTCAGTGACCCCCACCCACAACCCCTCCAGCAACCCTCAATTTGTTCTCTGTGTTTAAGAGTCTCTTATGTTACGCTTTCTCCCTGTTTTTATATTATTTTTACTTATCCTCTTTTATGTTCATCTGGTTTGTATCTTAAGTTCCACGTATGAGTGAAATCATGGTATTTGTCTTTCATGGACTAATTAAGCTTAGCATAATCTTCTCCAGTTCCATCCATGGGGTTGCAAACGTCAAGGTTGTATTATTTTTAATTGCCGAGTAATACTCCATTGTGCTGTAAACCTTGGGATGCATGTGCCCCTTTGAAACAGCACACCTGTCCCTAGGATAAATACCTAGTAGTGCAATTGCCGTTGTAGAGTAGTTTGGGCTTCATTTTTTTTTTTAAGTTTATTTATTTTGAAAGAGAAAGTAAGAGGGAAGAAGCAGGGGAGGGGCAGAGAGAGAGAGGGAGAGAGAGGATCCCAAGCAGGGTCCATGTTGTCAGCCTGACGCGGGGCTCGAACCCACGAACTGCGAGATCATGACCTGAGCTGAAGTCGGAACTTAACCAACAGCCACCCAGGCGCCCCTTGGCCCCACCTTCTTGCTCTTGACCTTCTGGGGAGAAGCTCGGGAATCTGGGGTCTCTTTTCCCTGCTCCTTGCTGGGGTGGGGGCAGGGTGTTGGGTTCACAAGCTCCTTCTCCTGAGTGTGCATACAAACAGGATATGTTAATTGTGAAAACACTTAGCAGGCTCTCAGCCCTGTGAGCTGCTAATTGAGCAACATGGAATTTTCACTCTCTGTTTTCCTTCAATTAGTGTGAATCCCTCAGGTAGGATGTCTCCAAGCAAGGTTAGTTTTCCCAGGAAATCCTCCGAGGAAGCAGTAGGGGGCAGCGAGCGGCCAGATCTAGCTGGGAGGACTCGGGATGCAGCCCAGCATTCCGGAATGTTCACTGTGTCTGTGTGCTTTGCCCCCAGTGTGTTTCTGGACGACTTTCTTGCCACTGGGAGGGGCGAGCAGGTCCCGCAGCTGGAGTTCGAGCAGCTGCCCTTCAGCCACCCGCTCTTCATCATGTTTTCGTCCGGCACGACTGGAGCGCCCAAGTGCATGGTGCACTCCGCCGGGGTACGTCTCTCCCGCCATCCGAATGCTCTGCTGAGGGCTCCCGGCTGCAGGAAGCGGGCATCCGGGTCTGCGCCCCAAACCACCACCCCAGCCAGCCTGCACCCCTTCCCTGGAGACTCCAGCATGTGGCCCCTCTTTGAGTCAGGGGGCAGCGTGGAGATTTGGGACTGAGCCCAGGCATCTGGCGCTGCTGTTCCCAGCGCTGCTGTTCCAGGCGCTGCGGTGTGCCTGTCTCCACGGTGACAGGTGTGGAGGCTGCAGTGCCTCTGAGGTGGGGGGGTGCGCTGGGCGAGCCCCTGACGTGCAGCTGTGGGTGGGATGGGCCTTGCCTGCGGCTTGGACGGAGTGAGGCAGAGCAGGAGGGCAGCTCCGAGCACATCACGGGTCACGAGGGATGCTGGTGGTGTCGCCTGACCCTGTTGTGTTAGCGCGTGCATGCGCCCGGTGCCGCAGTGGAGCAGCTGACCGCGGCCGTGGTCAGGCACCGAGAGCCCTGGGTTAGGTTTTAAAGCGCCGTGAGCGCAGGAAAGCTCGCCCGCCATAGTCATCAGCTCGCACTGCCGTGGCGAAGGACCGCGGGCCGGCGCTCAGACAGGCGAGCTCTGCTTCCCTCTCACAGTTCCGGGGCTGGAAGTCAGATCAAGGGGGCCTGGGGCTGGGGCCGCCTTCTCACTATGTCCTCGCCTGGCCTTCCCTCTGTGCACGTGGCTCTGGGGGCTCATTCCTGCCCACGCTTCCTCTCTGTGAAGATGTCCATCTGCCTGGATCAGGACCTGCTGCAGTGGCCTCTCCAACTTCTTCGCCTCTTCCAACACCCCATCTCCAAATGTGGTCACACTCGAGGTCCTGGGCCTTAGGGCTTCAGCATGTGACTCTGGGGACACACAGCTCAGCTCACAGCACGCACTTCTCATTTTCCTGTTTATTCCATCGAAAGTCCAACCATGTTAAAGCACCTGAAATAATGCTTTCCCACCAAGCATGAGATTTCATCCATATACGTTAGTGACTTCAACCTTTTGTGCTTGAAACGATGCCAAGCCTGTGGAATAGGTGCAGGGTGAGGAGAGAGCGGGCGCAGGGGTGAGGGGAGCGGTGCAGGGGTGAGGAGCACGGTGGGCTCCACGGGCATGTCAGCCAGACGCCACCATCATTAACATCCTCAGCATCCGTTCTTAATGTTTTCTTGAAAGACTCCTTTGCCTTGCTTCTCTCTCTTTCTGAAGACACACACACACACACACACACGCACACGTCATTTTTCTTTAGCTTCTTGCTGACCCCCTTGAGAATAAACTGGGGAGTCCTGGCCCTTTACCCCGGGTACCTGAGCGCACGCCTCCCGAGAACGAGAGCTTCTCTCACAAAACCCTCGTACGTTCATGACGGTCAGGAAAGTCCGCGTCGATGCGATGCCGTCACCTGATGCGTGGTCCATGTTCGGATCTCCACTGTCCCCACGACACCCTCCTCGGCCTCCTGCTGTCACGCCTCTGGGGTCCTTCACCTCTCAGGACACGGGCGTTTTTGGAGCCCCAGCTCCTGGTCTGGCAGCATGGCGCTCTGGTTCATCGGGTGCTTCCCGCTGCTTAGGTCGGGGCTGTGCCTTCCGGAAGGGGTGTTCAGGGGGAAACTGATGTGAGTTTATTTCATGATTGTTGTCTAAGCGGGTCACTCTCCCGAGGCACGGTTCCTTGGTACGTTTGGTACTTTTCTGTGACTCTGACCCCTCCTGGCCTCATCTCCTACCGCGCCCCTGGCCTTGACGGGGCGCTTCTTTCTGACTCAGTCCCCACCTGGAACTGAGAGCCCTCCTGGGCTGGTCTCGGGGGCTCCGTGCAGGGTGCTCGTCCCCTGCTTCCGGCAGCCCTGGGCCTCTCGCCTGGCCGGTCCCACAGCGTCTGTCTGGACCCGCTTCCCAGCTTCTCCCTCCGTTGGCCTGGCCTGCAGGGAGCACAAAAGCCCTCGGCCTCCCGGTCAGACCTGTTGCGGCCGCCTTTTCTCCCGGTGCTCAGGAGAAGGGGGTTATTCAAGACGAAGTGTCCTGTTCGCAAACCCCTTTGCAGCCTTTGCCTGACAAGATGGAGGCGTTTGAGGATCAAATATAAAGTTTCTGCTCTGCTAGTGCATTTGGCTTTTACAGATGTTCCCTCTGCCTAGGAGCAGTTTGAATCTCTCCCGTACAAAGGGAACATTTACATTTGATCCTGCTAAAGCCTCTGAGGCTTTTCACAGAGCGCTTTCGTCAGGAGGCGGGGGAGTCCCAGCACCTTCATCACTACCTGGTTCTGAATTCGCTGGAGGTCTGATGGCAGGTTATGAAATAGAGCCTCCGAATAAACAGCAAGAGCCCCCTGTGACTGCTCAGGAAACCGCAGGGCGGAGGGAGGGGGGCGTCCAGGGCCCCGAGGCTTTGTTTCTAGAAGTAACCCTGGCCCAACAGAGTTGAGTTGCCTTTTTGTAATTGGGAGTTGACCTTGTTCAAGCCGTCCCAGTTTGTTAGATCAAGTCGGGAGATGTGTGCCGTGGCCACTGGAATCCCATCTTCCTGGAGCGCGGAGCCCTGGTGCGCCTGGTCCAGGCCCGTTGGCTAGCGCTGGAGGGAGCGGTTTTAGAAACCCTGTAGACAAGGGTGGGGGTGCGTGGCAAAACAGCGGGCATTTTAGGAACAACTGAAATGTCTGACTGTGCTTTTATTTTTAGTGCTTTTTGCATAGCGAATGTCACTTTTTTGGGAGAGGAACATAAAAACGTATTCGATATAATATAGCTTGCTCGTAAAATCATGACGCCTGGTATATTTAGAGGATGGAAAAATCAGGAGCAATTCTGCTTCTCTCTTCACTGGGCTCTTGCCTCTCCGGAGCAGGGAGGAAGCCTGTTTTCAGGAGTTGTGTCCACAGGCGGCTTGGATGCAGCGGGACGGAGGGCACGGCGTGGGAACCGTCCCCTGGGGTTCGTGGGGGTGCTGTTCCCGGTGTGCAGGCTGGTGGTTTGCTGAGTCCACCACAAGAGGCCCCAGACTCAGCCATAAATATCTGAAGATTGACAGCAGAACCATTGCTGTGCATCAGGAGTCATTGAGACAGATGCTCGAGCAAGAGGTGAAGCCAGGTGTGCTTTGTGCCTCCTGAGAAGGGGAGATCGGGCCCAGCGGACACACACACGGCTGTAAACAGGCCAGGCTCGAAGCCGACTGCGGAGGAGACGTACAGGCCTAAATTAAATCCCAGTTTTACTTTATTTTTCAAAAATAATTTTTTCTTAATGATTATCATTATCATTTTATGTTTTATTTATTTCTGAGAGAGAGACAGCATGAATAGGGGAGGGTCAGAGAGAGAGAGATACAGAATCTGAACCAGGCTCCAGGCTGTGAGCTGGCAGTCAGCACAGAGCCCGACGCGGGGCTCGAACCCATGAGCCATGAGATCATGACCTGAGCCAAAGTCAGACGCTTCACCGACTGAGCTACCCAGGCGCCCCAATGATTATTGTTTTTTTTTAATTAATTTTTTAAATGTTTTATTTTTGAGAGTGAGATAGAGACAATATGAGCAGGGGAGGGTCAGAGAGAGAGGGAGATACAGAATCCAAAACAGGCTCCAGGCTCTGAGCTAGTTGTCAGCACAGAGCCCGATGCGGGCCTTGAACCCACGAACCGTGAGATCACGACCTGAGCCGAAGTCAGACGCTTAACTGACTGAGCCATCCAGGTGCCCCTGATTATTGTTTTTTTGAAAAGAGAGACAGCATGAGCAGGGGAGGGGCAGAGAGAGAGGGAGACACAGAATCAGAAGCTGCTCCAGGCTCTGAGCTGTCCGCACAGAGCTCAAAATGGCACTCGAACTCCCCAACCATCATGACCTGAGCTGAACTTGGATGCTTAACTGACTGAGCCACCCAGGCGCCGCATCTTATTTTTCAGGTTTTAGTTATTTATTTTGAGAGAGAGAGAGTGGACAGAGATGGAGAGGGAGAGAATCCCAAGCAGGCTCCACACCATCAGCATAGAGCATAGAGCCTGACATGGGGCTTGAACCCACGAACCGTGAGATCATGACCTGAACTGAAATCAAGAGTTGGATGCTCAACTGACTGAGTCCCCCAGGTGCTCTGAATGCCAATGTTAAGTAAACAGGAGGGGGATTTGCACAGGCTGCTGTCAGGGAGGCCCTGACCCCGTCTGCAGATCTGCTGTGGGAATGTTTCGTGCTGGCTAGGAGAGCTCCTGAGGTGGCTGTCATCCCCCAGCAGGTGCCACCCACTCTGAGGAAGAGCAGTGTGTCCTGCAACTTTGCCCAGATGTGCCTGACCCCTGGGTGGGGGGCTGTCCCCGACCCGCATGATGCATGCTGGATAAAGCCACCGGAGACCAGCTTCAGGAGTCTGTATGTGGCCTTGGAGACCCTTAGAAGGGGCCTGTCACCACCCCCCCCCCCCCGCAACCGAAGCCTTTGCTCTGCGGCTGCCCAGCCCCCGGGTGGCAGAGGTCCCTCTGCTTCTCGAGGGCCTGGCGATGGGCACCACTCCGGACATTCTCTGAAATTTGAGCTCTGGCTCTTGATCTGGAGAATTTGTTAGGAGGAGGGTATCTGCTGAGCTTTGGATGGGATCAGCTCCCCTTCCTGGCTCATTTCTACTTCTCTTGGATGCAGAGCAGGTCAGTCGTAAAGGCTGCTTGTGATAGTGGGTCCTTGCTTCTGCCTCGATAGTCCCTAAACAACGGGGGCCCGTTGACGTCAGCAGGTGCTCCTACCTGGGACCAGACTGAAGTGCGGGGCAGCCCTCTTCAGGGGCCTCCGAGGGCAGTGCCCCCTGGGGCCTGGGGTTGCGCGTTAGAGCCGTGCAGAACGGTAGCACCAAGGCCGGGAGAGAGGGAGTGGCCGCTGCAGGGCCCCTTGTGCGGCCGTCTGTCCGGTGCTCCCTTTCCCGCGGCTGGCCGGACAGGCAGGGCAGGTCTGGGACGCGGGGGCGTGGGCAGAGGGGCATCACAAGCCGGAGGTCAGACACAAGGAAGCTCGCTGTGCTCCGAGAAAGAGCTCCGAGGCACGTTATGTGGAGAAAGCAAAGTGCAGGCCAACACGTCCCAATAAGGAAAGCAGCCTAAAGGACCATACGCCACTGGGCCAGAGAGGACCGGGAAACAGACACGGGGAGCGGGTGTCCTGGGGCCACACGTCCTGCCCGTTACGTGTTCACCGTTACACACTCACGTGGACGTAACGGACCGTGCACAGAGGTTGGGACGTCTGACTGCACCTTTGGGCCGCAAGCAGGGTCTCATGCTCTCCCTCAGCCACGGGTCGCGTGGGCTCTGGCCCTAGGCTCCCCAAGTGTCCCTGCCAAGGTCACCTGGCCGGCCCGTGCCCCGTTCTGGAGCGGCGCGTCGTCACACTGAGCTTCTGTTCTTTCTGCTGGTGTCTTTGACTTGGCCTCTCCTCTCCTCCCCGCTGGGGTTGGGGTCCCACGGTGCCCCCCATCTCTCCGGTGGACTGCTTCCTCCGGGCAATGGGCGGGAGATGGGCTTCTCCCCGGGGATCTGCATCTGTGCCCTCTGGCCTCTGCGTGTGGGCGCCTGGCTCACACCTGTCTCCCGCCTCCCCAGGGCACCCTCATCCAGCACCTGAAGGAGCACATCCTCCACGGCAACATGGGCAGCAGCGACGTCCTCCTGTATTACACCACGGTGAGTGTGCCCGGGGCGCCAGGGTGGGTGTGCATGCACCACGGTGAGTGTGCATAGACCACGGTGAGTGTGCCCGGGGCGCCAGGGTGGGTGTGCATGCACCACAGTGAGTGTGCACACACCATGGTGAGTGTGCCCGGGGCACCAGGATGGGTGTGCATACACCACGGTGAGTGTGCATATACCACGGTGAGTGTGCCCGGGGCACCAGGGCGGGTGTGTGGACACCACGGTGAGTGCACGTGGAAGCCCAGCCCAGCAGTGTGGATGGAGTGTCGTGTTTGAATGGCAGGGAGACCCCGGTGGCTTCCCAGCGTCCAACTCCGCGGCCTCCCCAGAACACGTGGTTTAAAACGACAGGGCTTTGCGTCGAGAGGAGGTGCCCAGAGCATTGCACGTCTGGAGCAGTTCTGCCAGGCGCTTTCACCATCCCTGGAAGCGTCCTGCCCATGAGGGACAGGCAGTTGGCTTGTCCTGCGGAGCCAGGCTCGCCTGTCACTTACTGACCCACGTTAGTAGTTTCTTGGGACAGTGAGGCGGTTGGGCCATGTGCCGCGTGCTCTGCCGGCCGTGGTTTCTGGAGACAAGGAACTACAGATAGAAAAGCCATGTTAAAAGGCAGCTCAAGTAACTTGAGATTTTTGTGTGGCCCTGGTGGTGCCGGGGGGAGGGATGGGTGGCTCTGGGGCCTTGCTGAGGCTGTGCGCTGTCCTGTCTTCCGTGTCTGGGCTTTTCTTCTGGGCGTCCTGGAGAGCTACTCGGGGCACCTCGTGGCCACCCAGTCCCCCTGTGGCTGTGCCATGTGCTAGCTTTGGGGTGCACACGGCCCCCGCTCCTGGGTGTGGATGGGGCTGTGCTGTGTGTTAGCTCTGGGTGTGTGCACCGCCCCCTGCTCCTGGGTGTGGATGGGGCTGTGCCATGTGCTAGCTCCGGGGTGCACACAGCCCCTGCTCCTGGGTGTGGATGGGGCTGTGCTGTGTGCTAGCTCCGGGGTGCACACAGCCCCTGCTCCTGGGTGTGGATGTGGCTGTGCTGTGTGCTAGCTCTGGGGGTGCACACAGCCCCCACTGTTGGGTGTGGATGGGGCTGTGCCATGTGCTAGCTCCGGGGGTGCAAATGGCCCCTGCTTCTGGGTGTGGATGGGGCTGTGCCGTGTGCTAGCTCTGGGAGTGCACATGGCTCCCGCTCCTGGGCGTGGATGGGGCTGTGCCGTGTGCTAGCTCAGGGTGTGTGCACTGCTCCCCCCGTCCCCCGCTCCTGGGCGTGGATGGGGTTATGCTGTGCACCCCATGCTGGCTCGTCTCACAGTTCAGCTCATCTCAGACACCTGTCTGCGTCCACCCAGCCGTCTTTCCTGTCAGCGGCCGCAGCAGGCAGCCGCCCGAGTGCAAACATCGGCTGTGGGTTCGTGGACTCGCTGTGGTGTGTTCCATAGGACTTGTGCACGTGTGGGACCACGTTTGCATTGCTGTCCGTCTCCTGTCGTCCCCGCAAAGGCTGTCCACACGTTCTTTGACCCCTCTTAGCACACACGCGTGCGTGGATCTGATCTGCGTGGTCAGCTCTTGGCGTGGAATTCTTGGGGCGCGGCGCCCTGGAAGGGCGATTTCACCACCTGAAAGGGGCCGATTTCACCAGCTGTTGGCTCAGCTCCCGGAGGGTCTCTGGGGATGTGAGAAGCTGAATGTAGAGGTGCGGGCGGCGGGCCGGGCACTCAGTGACGCCGTGCACTTCCTTCCAGGTCGGCTGGATGATGTGGAACTGGATGGTGTCTGCTCTGGCCACGGGAGCCGCCCTCGTCTTGTACGACGGCTCCCCCTTGGTGCCCACGCCCAACGTGCTCTGGGACCTGGTTGACCGGATAGGGTAGGTACCCGAGACACCGTGCCGGCTGCAGGGCCACCCTGCTGTCACCCGCTGTGGGGGAGGTGCCTTCCTCAGGGTGCTTGGTGCCTCTCGGGGGGTGAGGGGGCCGTGGAGGTGGAAGTGGCCGCGAGGCCGGGAAGGGCAGGTGGTCCTGACAGGAGCCTGCCCAGGAGCTGGGGAGGCTGCGTGTGGAGCCGGGGGGCCACCCCCAGTTCCGGGAGGGGCTCTGAGACGTCAGGGTATCGGGAGAGGGAACGGGATCCTGTTTCTAGAACTCTGGGATCCAGGAACTGGCAGAAGAGCTCACGTGGGAGGGAGATGGGGCCACGGGGCCAGCGAGGGTCTCGGGGCTCCTCCAGCTCAAGGCGGAGGTGGAGTGTGAAGCCGGTGGCTCAGGGGACCGTGTGCACAGGTCCAGGAAGGGCAGGCTCAGGGCCCAGCACCCGGGCACTCGCGGGGTCCGGGCTTCCCACCACCGGCCTTCTGGGCCCGATGGCGAGAGGAGAGCCCTGCCTCTGTCAGCTGTCCCGCGGCGCCGGGCCGCCGTCCCCTGGGTCCCCTCGGCTCGTCACAGGATGCTCCGAGATGCTCTTGCAGATGCTGCCTGAGGGGGTGTGTCCTCCATGCAGTCCCGCCAGCGGCCCGTTCCGTGGTCGGGCACCAAGCGGGAGTCCTGAGAGCAGGGGCAGAGCCCGGGGAAGGACGCGGGGCCCCTCTATCTCCTGATCCCCCTGCCCGTGGTCCCCGCGGGAAACGGTCGGGAGGCCATGTGGGAGGGCTCTCTCTGCTAACGGATGAATCGTGGCCGGCTGAGGCTCCCTCACCACTGCGCCCCATGGTCCCCGTTGGCCTAACGATCGTGGTTCCAGGGGCGCGAACACAGAACGAGCAGACCCCGGGGCCGGAAGCAGCCTGCTCTGCAGCGAGCTCATTACCTTAAGTCTGAACCTGTTCGCGGCGGGGGCCCGAAGGAGCCACTAACGTTTCTACCTCCTTGGCCATTAATATTTCAGATACACCTTCCCGGCCTGGGTAATATTCAAATCCTGACATTTGGCTCATGGTGTTGTAAGGAAGGTTATTTCCTAATGAGACTGTTTTCCGAAGAAAGGTTAATCGAATCTCTGGGAATGTAAATGGTTTAAGAGCTTTATCCTTAATACCTGTGAACCAGGCTCCAGGTGGGGACACGTTCTGGGGGGTGTGTGTGTGAGAGAAGGAGGGACAGAAAATGTGCGTTCCTGGGACTCGGTGCTAAAGAGTTTGAGGGATGAAGAGCCTAGGAAACCCCAGCTCTGTGTGTGTCAGTGTAAGTGCATGTGTGTATGTGTGCACAGGCATGATTGTGCAAGAGAGTGTGTGCACGTGTGCAAATGGTGAGCAACTATGTGGACGTACGTGAGCACGAGTGAGTGTGTGGTTGTGCCTGCGTGTGCATGTACATATGTCTGCGTGCACGTGGGTGTGCGTGTATGTGCGTGCATGAGTGTGTGCATGCGCGTCTTGAGCGCTCACAGGTCTGTGGTCTGGGCTGACGTGGTAGGCACATCTTGGTTCCCCTGTTGGCTCGTGGCCCACATGCTGCCAGAGACGTGGCCTTGGCCGTCTGCACGGCCGCCCTGGCCCGGCTGGGAGAGCTCACCCGCCAAGTTCACGGAGGCTGGTGCGGCCACGCGGCTTGCGCAGGAGCCGAGGGGAGGGGCACTTGTGAGGACCTCAGGCCTCCATTGCCTGCTCCGGCCACCAGCGGCCATCGAAAGAGGGGTGCAGGTCAGGGGAGGCAGGACACCCTTGTCTGTGCTTCGCCCGCCTGCTGAAGATTAAAACTGAGTTGCACGTGGTCACGTCAAATCCTGTTGGTTTGCGGGAGGAGCTGTGGCCCTTCAGGGCGGGCGGACGCAGGACCTCACAGGGCCGTTTCAGGGCCTTTGGTTTTTAAGTAACGTCAGTAAACATAGAGATGGAACCTCCATGGATGAATAATGTGTCTGTGCATAGACTCACTACCGTAGATGACAACAGCGTTTATTGTGTAGGCTCAGACAAGCTTCTTTTAAAAGATGAATTTTTGTCATTTCAGGTGTATTTCTGGGCTCTGGGAGTCTGGCTTGGGGAATTCTCGGGTTAGCATTGGGGCAGAAGTCTGGGGTCTTCTGTCCAGGCTTTGCCAGTAATTGGGCCAGCATCAGAGCCACCCAAATTACCCCGTGTCATGTGTCTCTGGGTACGAGACGTCCAGGTAGAGTGTGTGGTGGGCTGACAAGCTCACCTTGCAAAGCGAACTTGTATCACTTGCACCCCCTGCATGTATCTGGGCGTGTGCTCTGTGCTGCAGCCCCTGCTGGGCCCCAGGGTGCGCCCAGCAGTGGTGGAGGTGGACAGGTCCCTGCCCCCGAATGGGGGAAGAAGCAGAGAGAAAGAAGGGCTGTTAGTGCCCTGGGGTCAGGGAGACCCTCGGAGGCAAGGGCACAGGGGCTGAGCCTGGAGTCTCCATCCTGTGGAGGGGACACGATGCGTGTGCAGGCAGAGGGAATACGCGAGCCTGGGCCCTGAATGGGACTGAGACGGGTGTGCCGGGGGAGGGGGCCCTTGTGGCCTGGACCTGAAGTCGATATGGGGGTAGCCGGGGGGTGGGGGGAGCATCTTGATTTTATGGCCGCCTTTGGCCAAAAAAGGGAAAATATTCCGTAATCGGGAGGGTAGTGGGTTGATGTGCGTGTGGGTCATTATCTTACATAGAACCTCGCATTAAGGGCACTCAGGGCTGTGGGCATGTTGGAGTCCGCCTGAGGACCCGTCTGTGCTGTCCCCTGATGGTAAACTCGGTGTCATGACTCACCCTCAACTCAGTAGCGAGTATCAGTTCAGCCCAGGAACATGACGTGTCTTGGATTTTGCAAACTTGTGAGAAACGAGTGACTAATTTCACAAAGCTCTGCTGCACGAATGTGCCTCACGAGGGTGTCTTCTTTCCCTCCCGTGCCCTCAGCATCACCATCCTTGGGACGGGCGCCAAGTGGCTGGCTGTGCTTGAAGAGAGAAAGCTGAAGCCAAGTAAGTGTGCCTCTCGGAGCAGCTGGCCCATCCCGGTCTCGCCGGCCGGGGGACTGGGCACCGCTCCGCTACCCGTTTGCTGTGCGCAGCCGGGCTACAGACGTCGGGTTTAGTTTTGATCTTTCTGTGGTCCTTCGCCCTAGTGGAAACCCACAGTCTGCAGACGCTTCATACGATCCTGTCCACCGGCTCCCCCCTGAAAGCCCAGAGCTATGACTACGTCTACAAGTGCATCAAGAGCAGTGTCCTCCTGGGCTCCATCTCAGGTACGCGGCCCTCGGGTGCTGCAGGAGGGCGTCCTGGAGGAGGCGGGAAGGGGCACGAGTGGCCCGGCCCCCGCCAGCGCGCACAGCCTCCCACCCGGCGAGGCCCGCCTCTGCGCACGCCAGCAGGTACTGAACCACTGCCCCTGGGGGAGATTACACACCTACGTGTCTCACGTCAGTTACCGTCTTACATTCCCAAAACAGCTTTTTCTGGTAGATTCTGTTTTCTTTACCTTACAAAAGAGAAAACGAGGGTCAGAAGCGTTGACCGACTTGCCGCAGCCGCCCCGGTATTGGGGACACAGGGGAGGGACTCAGACCCAGAGCAGCCGCCACACAGCCCGAGCTCCTGCCCTTGCGGCCTCTGGTCCCCGCGGTACCGGGAGCTGACGCCAGAGGGCAGGGCGCTGGGAGCGTGCGTGTCCGGCATCTCGGGATTTCCACCGTCGTGTTCTCAGGTGACCTTGAAGGCACCCTGAGCATTGATTTTGGGGTCGGGTAGGAGAATTAGGACAGCTGTAACATTGTTGATGTTCGTGAAAAGCCGGAAATTACCCATGTGGTTGGTAGAAGGGGATTAAATTAACGGGATCGTTTATGGTGGATCCTTCATTTTTGCAGCTGTTAGAAGGGACATGATAATAATTTTTGTTTAGACGGAAACATGTTTATTTACAAGGAAAGCGGCTTGTGATGGGTTAGAGGATCAGACCCAGAGTTATCTGGTCACCTTTGTGGACCAAAGAAAGGCCCGTGCAGGGGCGTGTGTGCCCGTGTGTGCACGTGGCTGTTGGGATTTCAAGTGGCCTTTTTTCTCCTCGCTTTTCTCCTAACACAAAGTTCAGTGAAGATAATTGGTATATGTGGCCAAATATTCAGAATCCAAAAGGAAACAGGGTGGTGACCCCCCCAGCCCCACCCCGTCTTCTTCCCCAAGGAAGCGGGTGCCGGTTTCTGTCGAGGCCGTCTGTCTGTGCATGGGAGGGCAGCATGTGTCGGGGAGGGGGACATTTAATGTAGGGTTCACACGGTCCCATATTTCCCCCTTAACGGTGTGACCTGGGGTTCATTCTCCCGCAGCTCATCCAAATCTTTAGATGGCCGTAATTTGGTTTTCTGAGAACACATCTCTGGAAGATGCCATGTGATTTGCTGTCCCTGCCAGCCCTCCACTTTCTAGCTGGACCCTTGGCCCGAGGCAGGGTGTCTTGGGCTGTTCGGGAGGGCAGAGGTCCCGCCAGCACCTGAGAGTGGACTTGAGACCACGTTTTCCCCTCCGGGCCTCAGTTTGCCTCCCTTACAAGGAGTGGACGGTGGCGTGTGGTCTCCAGGGGCCACGTGGGCGGATGTGCCAGGGCTCTGGTCCTTCCTCCAGTGGGGTCCTCAGCCCCATGATAGGCGACCTCCACACATGTCCCCTGCCCACGTGTCACCTGGTGGGATGCCGTGAGGCCTTGAGACAACCGCTGTGTCCTGAGATAAGACGGCCCTCAAGGTGCTGGGGGGAATGCAGGCCCAGGGTAGATGAGGCGCCCCTGTTTGTGTGAGCGGGTCGTCCGTGCAGAGGGCCCCGGGCACTCCCGTCTGCTCCTCACCCTCCTGGGAGTTTTGGGTCTTGCGCCATCTACGTCCCCTGGTTTGTAGAAGCTTCGGGAAGTGGATTTCTGCTGAGCAATGCAGTGACATCCTAACGGCGGCACGTTCCGGCTCTGAGCCTCTCAGCGCCGCGCCGGTGCTGGGGGTGTCACGGCGTCACCTGGGAGCATCTGGTGCTCACCTGGGGACAGCGCTGGCACCTGCCTGGGGCGCTGAGACGAATGTGACCCTCGTTGTCACAGGGAGCCGGCGAGGGGACGCTTGTCGGCAGCTGGCTTCGGGGTTCCTGCCCTTCTCTCTCCATGGCTCTCGGGGTCAGAATCCCTTTCGAGCTGCTTCCTGAAGCTGGGCTGTTCCCCATCACACGCTCTCTCGTGGGAGACCCACACTGCACGGACCTTGGGTTTCTGTCCTTTCAGCGGCCGTGTGCCGTGGGTCTAATGGACGGAGCCTCCGTTTTCCCTGAGCCCGAGGCTTGAATTGTGCGGCGACCACGAGAGGTCATTTATTTTGTGTGTCCTGCGGCTGGAAGCGTCGGTCAAAGAATAAACCACCCAGACACGGGCCGCGAGCGGCAGTTCCGTGTCTTCCTTCAGAGGCTGGAACCATCTGGGGCTTGTCTGTATTTACCTCAAGAAAGATGGGTCTCCCTCGTGGGGTTCTCCCCGATAACACACACGGCCGTTTGTCCCCGTCTTCTGAACATGCATCTCCTTCTGTCGTGTCTGCAGGTGGCACCGACATCGTGTCCTGCTTCGTGGGCCAGAACTTTTCTGTTCCTGTGTACCGAGGGGAGATCCAGGCCCGGAACCTGGGCATGGCCGTGGAGGCCTGGAGCGAGGAAGGTGACGGCTCCCTGAACACCCTGCTCGCCTGTAGAGTGACGTAGCTTCTCGCCAGGCCAGCCCCAGCCCCCGTCAGCCGGCCTGCCCGGGACCAGAGTTGGGCGGGAGCATTGCGGGGAGCTGTTTGCTCAGGGACGCAGGACAGCAATGGTTCCCCCAGCAGCCAGATGTCGGAGCTGCTGCTGTGGCTGCCGGACGGCCTTGCTAGGCCGACACCCTCACCTTGATGAGGACCCAGTGAGGGACCTGGGGGTTGGCCTCTCTGAGAGATAGGCTTTTGCTTTGTAGCCTGTTAGTGGCCACTGGCTATAAATCAGCAAAGCCTGTTTGTGTCTCCAGTACCAGACAGGGCCTGGTGTGTGGTGTGTGCACTGTACAAGTTTGCACTGCAGCCACTGTTATTTTAACCTGGCGGAGTACGTGGGACGTTATGCCAGCCGCGTTTGAATGAGGGAGAGAGACAGACAGCAGCAGTGGTGGCTGCACCAGCTGCGAGCCGGGGGAGTGCAGGAAGGGTGTCTCCTAAGTTCACGGAGAAGGTTGCCAGAGACCTTTCTGAGGATCAGTTCTGATTTTCCGAAGAAGGCTTTTCCCTGGTGCTGCCTGGAGTCCTTGCTCACAAAAGTTCTCAGTTCTGTATGCTGTTTTCCTCCCCACCGTCCGAACCATTTCCCTTGGTACAGGCTGCTGCCACGTCCAGTAGCCTGGTCGGGAGGGAGATGTTCCTGGCAGAGAAACCGACGCTTCCAGAGGCACACAGTCACCCGTCCTCCTGTCCTCTATTTTGGGGGTGCTGTGGGGTGATGTGAGCTAGGCGAGGTTGAGGACACGCAATAACCCAGGGGCTTCTGTGGATGCACTGGGGCTGATGGGACCCCGTGATGCTTGCGGGTGCTCCCCGTGGTGTGTGTGGGTGCTCCCCGTGGTGTGTGGTGTGCGTGGGTGCTCCCCGCGGCGGCGTGGGTGGGTGCTCCCCGTGGTGTGGGGTGTGCACGGTGCTCCCATGGGGTGTGCAGGGAACAGCTGGGCACCGGAGGGAGACGGGGGCATCTTCAGGAGGAATGGTGGTGGTGATCGCACCCGGGAGATTAAAGCCCCGAGCAGCACGTAGCACAGAAGTGACTTCCCCCCTCGGCGCTGGGAGGGCACGGGGTGCTGGACACACGCAGACGGGGTGTTCACACGGCTTGGCGACACGCAGGACAGTGTCGGTGGAGTGAAAGTATTCACTCTGGTGTGGGAAAAGCGAATTACCTTTCCAAGAGCTGTTCGCAGGACGCGTCGGGAGGGAAGGTGCTCGGGGCGGGATGAGCTCGGCTCCCAGTGGGGTGGCGCTGACGTGAGCTGTGCGGGCTGTGGGTGGGCGTGTGGGTGGGGGCGGGGGAGTGCCAGGGCGTGGCTGCCGTGTGTGCTCAGGCGGCGCCTGCTTCTCCCTGAGCCAGGCACGGCCGTGTGGGGCGAGAGCGGAGAGCTGGTGTGCACCAAGCCCATCCCCTGCCAGCCCACGCACTTCTGGAACGACGAGAACGGGAGCAAGTACCGGAAGGCCTACTTCTCCAAGTTCCCAGGTACGTGCCCGGGCTGCAGCCTCGGCCCCCGCCCTGCCTTCGACTCCGCGCCTGGGTGCGTCCCCTCCGCGTGCGCGGGAGCTTCCCGCCCCTTCACAGCCCCTTCCGCCAGTAGGGTGGCGGGAACGTCGGCTCAGAATCTTGTCACCTGCTTGAAGCCGTCCGGTGACACCGGCATCTGGGTATGGTTTATCCTTAACCGGCCCCTGTGCGCGTGGCCCCTGGGCCCCGGTCGCTGCTGCCGGGAGCTGGCCCGCGCCCCTGGGTGCCTGCGGGAGGGTGCGCTCGCTTACTGAGGGCTGCGCCAGCTTCCAGAGAGAGGACGTGTTCAGGCGGATTCTGGCTCGGGACTCTGCCGTCCTGCAGCACGCGCCCTCACCCGGTCCTGCAGCGCTGCGCCGGCGGGATGGCTTACGACCCGCTCCTCCCTCTCCCAGCCTGACACCCTTGCGGATCCTGTTCCGAGTGACGCCTTGCCCACAGCGGGGAGGTGTCCGTTCCGAGCTCTGCCGCCTGCCCCCCGTGCCTTGTTTCGTGGCCCGGCTGACCTGCTGCGTGGAGGAGCCGCAGCCCGGCAGACCCTGGGCCCCTGAGCGGTTTAGCCCAGGGACGCGCTTCGGTCTCTGGAGAGTGATCCGAGTTGCATTAGCCACGGCGGACAGCCGGGAAGGGCCGGGGCCGCCGGTGGCAGAGCGGCTCACGGAGCGCTCCCGCTCCCGTGCCCCGCGTGGCCCCGCGCGCTTGCACAGCCTGCGGGGGACCGCCGTCCTGGCACCGCCCCATCACTCGGGAGTCGTGGGGCCGGGCCCCACCTCGGATCCCGCCAGTGCGCGGCGGTCCACGCGGTGAGGGCGGTACGAAGAGCACGAATATGGAGACAGGTGTTCCTCAGGTGACCCCGGGGGCGAGGGCGGCGGCTTCTGTCTTAGAAACAGGCCAAGAGGAGTTGAAACACGGAGTCCCCTTCCCCTCAGGACAGAGTTTCTGATTCTCTTTAACGAATCTCCTCGTGTAGTCGGTTTTGTAAGCGGCTTCCTCAGATACTTCTCGGGAGTGGGTGCGGCATAGGGAGCAGCAGGCACAGAGGGCGGCGGCTAAGGTAACGGGACTCGGAAGCCGTGGCCCATGGAGGCATTGAACCTGCCGGCCTCTCCACGCCCCGGCGCTGGCGGATTCTTACACTGCCGCAGAACTGATGATTAAAGAAAACAGTTGGAAGGCAAGGTTGTCTTTTCTGTAGCAGGAAGCAGACACCATCAGGCCGGGAGAAAATGTAAGCAGGCAGCAGTATACCCAGGAAGTCAGTCAGTGAGAAGTGGTTCAGCACAGAGAGCGTAGTCGCTTCTGTGTTTGGAAAGGAAATCTACGTGTCTGTCTGTGAATAAACGTACGACAAAGGGCTGTCTGAGTGGGGGAATTAGGAGCCGCTTCGGTTTTCCTCATGACAACTAATAATTCTTAAAAGCCTAGTAAAAACGTAAATAGGAATTAAAAGCAGACTGAAGAAAGACGTAGATGGTGCTCATTCCACAGAGCAGTGACTTCAGCGCTGAGTTCCTTGGCAGCCAAGGCAAAAATGGAAACACACTGGGTACAGAGAAGTGCAGAGGACAAGTTGCACATGGGACCCTGGCCTGCCCGTGAGCTGACGAGACGTTGACCTAGATGGTACGGTCACGGCTCCGACTGCCCTCAGGCCTCATCAGCAGGAGTTCAAAGCAGAAGGAGGCCCGAGTCCTACCTTCTGGAGCCCTGGGTCCTGCAGTAAGAGAGAGCGTGTGCCTATGGACTTAACCATGATGGCGCATCCGTGTACGCGGGAAGCCTTGCTGCCGTTCTGTGACGTGCAAGAGCGCGTGCTCCATAAGGGGCTTCCTACGCTGGGTCTCCAGAGGGGAAAGGAGCAAGGCGGGTCTCCCCGTTCACGCTGGCGTGCTGGGCCCGGGGCACCATCGGTGACCTGGGGCAGAAGCAGAGCCAGTCTGCCACGCACACAGTGGGAGCTGGGGGCCCGCGGAGACCCGCGAGGAAGGCTGTGACTGCCTGGCACCAGGCCACCAGCCCCTTGTGAATTCTTCCTCCCGACTGCGTTTTGTATAAGGCGGAAGCATTTCTCCGCGTTTCTACAAGTGACTACTCCTTCAGGGTGCATTTGTGCCTTCCGATTTGTCCCCGTTTCCGGAGCCTTGCATTAATTATCAGACTCCTGGGACACCGGGGTCCCTGCTGGGCAGGACAGGCCCTGCTGTGTCTGCAGCTTTCCGAGACCCGGGACTGCGCCCCAAAGCTGGTGCCCTGAGCACCTAGCCCCTGTGCGCCTGCGGGCGCCCCACACACCACCTGCGGTCCCGGGATCTCTCCCTGTTGGTGGAGGTGACTGTTTTGCAAGTGGCGTGAGGAAGAGGAGTTCCTTCTTTAGCTTGCGGAGGACGGAGGAAGGACCTCGAGGCCGTCAGATAAATGAGCTCAGGGGTCCTTTGTTCTCAAACTGTCCCAAGAACCACGCTCCCTGCGGACGGACAGGCGTCCTGGCCTCCGTCTCGTCAGGAGCCCTAGTCCACGCTCCGGGCAGCGTGCAGTCGTGACCGTGAACAAGGGAGGGTGTAAGCAGAGGGTGCTGTTGGGGGGGCGCCTCCCGGGCAGCTGTGAGCCAAGCAGGTCAGCCCTCGAGTCCGGAAGCATCTCTAGGATGGGCCAGGGAGAGGTGCTCTCCGTGAGGATCCCGCAGCTGGTTTATTTGGCACCTTCCCGTTCGGGGCCGCAGGGGCCGCCTCGCTTCTGGAGGCCACGTGCCTCTGACTGTTCACACCGTCTGGCCTCCGTTTGTGTGGCTGGTCGAGAGTCACCGCATCTCCCCGAGGAGGCCTCTGGCTGGTTCAGCCGCTCCCGTGGCAGCCCCTCGGGAGGGCGTGGCCGAGGCTGGAGCCTTCATCCCCGGCGACACTAGCTTCGCTGCAGCCCAGGACCCCGCCGCACAGGGGCACGCAGCTGGCTGGGTTCGGGGTCACCTGTGACCCGCCTGCCCCCACCACCTTCCTCGTCCCCAGGTTCCACCGGCCAGTTAGCTCCGTCCACACACTGGTGCCTTAGCTCAGGCCTGCGTCGCTCAGACTGACGCGGGAGCCTCCCTGCTGCTCGGGCTGGTTTTCTCCTCCAAGAACGCCGACCCCTCCAGACCGGCTTTCTCAGCTGCCCCAGAGCATGCTGGCCTCCTGAGGCGTGGCCTGTGCTTCCACCCTTCACCCAGAGGGCCTCCCCTACCCCCGCCTCCACGCTCCCACTGACCTTGCCCGCCCTGCCCGCATCCTCACTGCCGGGCTCGTGCCCCCTGACTTCCCCGGGGTCCCTGTCATTGCCCGCAGGACTGCCGTTTCTCCCATGCTGGTGCGTGTGGGCTCCGGGGGCACGGGGCCCCCACCGGAAGGGGTGCTCCTGGGGCAGGGGCTGTTCACACTCCCCCCCCCCGGCTCCCCAGCCCTGTCCCTTCTGCCTTTCTGAGCCTCAGCTGCATCTGCTGACGAGAGTCACGTTGTGGAATCGTGGGCATCCTGTTACCGGCCTGCCTGCCGTGGGTGTCTGTCCGGGCAGCCAGCCGGGACCCCTTCTCCTCGGGGTGACCCGGCACCTCTGCCTCCCTGCAGGTGTCTGGGCGCACGGCGACTACTGCAGAATCAACCCCAAGACCGGGGGCATCATCATGCTGGGCCGGAGGTGAGGGTCCTCCAGAGACACCCCGGCGGGGGCGCGGCTGGGGGCGGGGCCGGGGCGCCCTGCGTCTGCTCCTGAGGGCTCCCGGCCTGATCCAGGGTGCCCCAGGGTAGGGGAGGAGCCCTGGGCGCAGGGTGTGGCCTGGCCAGCGTCCGCCCACGGGGCACAGGCCCTTTCAGGACAAGGGTGTGTGTGTGCATATTCGGCGCACGCCACACCTGCACAGGGGGGAGGGGACAGTGGGGGGACAGGTGTTTCCACACAAAGGGGACTCCCTTGTGGTCTGGCCTGGGGTTGAGAGAGAAGTGGCTGCTGGGGATAAAGGGCAGGGGAGGGAGCCTCCGTGAGGGGCTCAGGGTTGCCGTGTGGAAAGGGGGTGACGGCCCCCATCCCCGGACCCCGGGTGACGTGCCTCACTCAGGAGCCCCTCCGTGTTGGTGACCTTGTCTCTCTTTCCAGTGACGGCACGCTCAACCCCAACGGAGTGCGATTCGGCAGTTCGGAAATCTATAACATTGGTACGCATTTCCCCTTGCTCCTAAAATTTTTCTCAAGTAACCCCAGAAGGAAGGAAGGAAGGGGTGTCCTGGGGGGGCTCAGAGCCTGCTTTTCAAAGCCCCAACTTTTGGCACAACTCTGCCCCATTTGCCTCAGCTGTGAGAAGGGACATTTGTGAACATGTCCTTCTCTCCAGAACTTACCTCGTCCACGTTGCATGTACTCACCAGAACCCAGAGCGGTCACATACATTTTATGTGATAAATGTATGTGCTCCGATACATTTTATCTACACAGCGAGCTACCTTGGGTTGCTTAATTGTGTCTACTTTTTAGGGGTGAAGAGGCATAGAGAGGTTGTGTGATTGCTGGAGGTCACACAGCACCATTCAGGACACTAAACAAAGACAGCTGCACAGTCATCCGCGGCCTTTAAAATGCCCACCAAGGTCATAAAATCAGCCTCCCAAGCAGGTGCCGTCCTGCTGATGCCACATCGGGGTTGTTGGTGCAGCCGGGGCGGAGAAGTCATCCGTCTGCTTCCAGCTGTTGTTCCCCTGACCCGTGGAGTCCCCCCCACCCGTGGAGCCCCCCAACCCGCGGAGTCCCCCCCACCCGTGGAGTCCCCAGCATGGGGACTTGTTTCCTTTCTGTGTTTAAATTCATTGCTAGTTTTAAGCAAGTCAGGCCCGTGTTTGGCTTCTTGTAACCGTTCAGCTTAAGCTGCGGCTGTGACTCTGGCCAGTGATGGGCGGTCTGCTTGTCCCCCTGAGGGGCTCTTCCCCAGCAGGGGCCGGGGCATCAGGCTCAGGGGGCCGGTGCGAGCGTGAGCCTCTTCCCCTGTGCTTGCAGTGGAGGCCTTCGAGGAGGTGACGGACAGCCTCTGTGTCCCCCAGTACAACAGAGATGGGGAGGAGCGCGTCCTTCTGTTCCTGAAGATGGCGTCCGGCCACACCTTCGGTCCCGACCTGGTGAACAGCATCCGCAGCGCCATCCGCCACGGCCTGTCCGCACGCCACGTGCCCAGCATCATCCTGGAGACCAAGGGCATCCCGGTAGGTGCCCCGCCGGGCTCCTGGGCCCCCCCCCGGCAGCGCCGACCCCAGTGCCCCCCACACTGGGGGGCTCTCCCGACCAGCTTGGCCCCGCTTTATATCGTTTGTGCGCGTTGCCTGGCAACGCCATCTTCCCTTTCTCCCCCACCGTGTCTCTCTTTTTTTAACCCTTCCTCACTTGCATTTAAAGTAAATTGTGCTGAATACCTGTGTTGAGAGGGCAGGCGGGCCCAGCCCTGCACACCCACCTGGCTTCTCCCCGGTGCAGGCCTGGGGGGTTCTCAAAATTATTAATGAGAAAATTAATTTTAACTTTACAAAGAGCCGCTGGAGTGCTGTCGCTCTTGCCTTTTAATTTTGAGTCTTGCCTGTGGAAAGAAGATTTGAGTCTGTTTAGAGGCTTGTGGCCAGAAAGCTGCTCCCCCTTTCCACGTTGTTTAGGCTCTGAGTGGGGCAGGAGGCGTGCCCAGATGGGGTCTCAGTGTTCACTCGGACCGCTGACCAGGCGAATGTGTCCGTCGGCCCCCAGCAGAAAGTGCCGTGTGTGCGCACACGTGTGCACAGAGCACGCTGAATGCATAGATGAGCCGGGCTGTCTCAGAGGCCTGTGGAATAGCTGTTCACTGAGGGGGAGCCCAGCTGAAGCAGGGCCCTGGGGGGGCAGCCGAAGCAGAGCCCTAGAGTTGCCCTGAGCAGGGGTGCGTGTGTGAGGTACAGGCAGGGGCTGGGACTCCTTACACCGTCCGCACACGTCTTTCACATTTTGGTTAATGCACAGCTTGGGAGTCTGTCCATGTCTGTCTCTCCCGGTTGGTGGCTCCGATGGCTCCAGAGACAGTGGCTCTCGCGGGGATGGAAGGACTTCTTGAGTTAGTGACACTCACTGCCTTCTCCTAATGAGGGCCCAAGGCTTTCCTTCAGTCAACCAGTTCTGTGTGCCTCTGGAACATTCTGAAGTACTAGAGTTTGATCTTCCCCTTGGCTTTCTCTTATTGAGACAGAACGTGTGCCCTCCGCTGCCGGGAGGGTCATTCCCCAACTGTGCTTCTCATGAGAAGTCAGCTGGGACATGGGAAGTGGAGGCCGTGTCTCTGTCCTTGGCCTGGCGCCTGGGCTCTCTCTGCTCTCTATGCTCGGTTCCCAGGCGCGGTCTCCTCTGCTTGGGCTGGGGAGTCATTTCAAGGGTTTCTTGAGGCTTTTGAGGGCCCTGTATTTCCAGATCCCCGTGGCCTGAGCTGATGGATTGGGCTGTCGCTGTGTGTCACCAAACTGGGGCGGGGGGGCGTGACCCAGCCAAGGGGACTTGGGGCATCAGGGGCACGGCGGGGCTGGCAGCCACCGCGAGGCTGGGGGCACGGCTACCCCGACCCCGGCACATCTTTGTCCCGCTCACGGTGGCAAGGCCTGGCCTGTCCTGACAGGAGGCAGGTGACGTTTCCGTCAGGGAGGCCCGAGCCCGCCGTCTCTGCCTCCCGGCAGCCTCTTGCCAGAGGGAACAATAGCAGGATTTCTTCCGAAACGGAATGAGGTCTCCTCTGCTTTGTCAGCCGACGGAACATGTGAATTATTAGCTCCCCGGAGCTGCTCTTGGGGCTGCAGTGCACAGCTTACACGCACACGAAGCACGTGAAGCTTGCATTTCGGGGTGAGAGGGGCTGACGCCCAGGTGACAGGCAGCCCCCCGGAAGCCCGTGCCTGGGTCCTTAATTAGCTTACATGTCGCCTGAGTCTTTCAAGTGAATGAATTTTAATTACATCTCAGGTTAAAAAAATACAACAACAAAAAAACGGTGCCGGTGGAGGAGAGATCAGGGCCCAGGCAGTTTTACTAACGGGCTCTGTTCTCCTGCCTCCCGGCCCAGCGCCCGCACGGCCGCAAGACGCCTTTTGGGACCGCGGGCCGAACCCACCAGGCGTGGATTTTAGAGGGAGCTTTGAACATCTGGGAGGACTCTGGCCTAGACGAGGGGTTCCGAGGAAGGATTTGGGGAGGTTTGGGGAGGCTCGTGGGCGGAGCGCGCTGGCCAGTTGATCAGTGACGAGGCTGCAGGAAGCCAGCCGCTGCTCACACGGCAGCGACCGCTGGTCTGACGACACAGGGAGGTATAACCAAGGAAAGTTGGCAAAACCGAAATAGTCTAACAGTGAGTCCCGCGAGCCCTGCCTAAAGCCATGGGGCGGTGGGGGTAGGCACTAGCGCCCCTACTTCATGCTCTAGGGGATGGACCCGGTTTAAGGCATTGGCCCCCAGCTGCCCCATGGCTCCCGAGGTGGAGAGCCCCCTTCCGGGCACGCCTGCCGGGCAGCCGGGTCACCCTCCGTCGGGCTGCAGGTGGAGGGTCTTTCCCCGGGGCTCAGGCTCAGGTAACGATTGTGCCTGTCTTCTCCGCCCCCCTCCCCCGCCCCCGGCAGTATACCCTCAACGGCAAGAAAGTGGAAGTGGCCGTGAAGCAGATCATTGCCGGCAGAGCCGTGGAGCACCGCGGGGCCTTCTCGAACCCCGAGACCCTGGATCTGTACAGGGACATCCCCGAGCTGCAGGACTTCTGACCCGGGACCGGCTCGCGCTCTGCCACACGCTCCTGTGCGGGCTCTCGTGTGTCCCAGAAATAACCGGAGACGGACAGCCCTTGGGAAGCAGGTGTCCATGGGCTCGGGGAAGAGTCGTCCCTGCTCTTTTGGCTCTGGGGGGTGCCCGCGTCTTCCCAGAGCCCGTCCCGACCTCTGGGGCCGATGGGGCCGTTTGGCTGAGCGCGTGGCAGGGCTGGGAGGGTGTGTGCGTCTTCGAGCCGGTGTTCTCGCACGCGCCGCGGGAAGCTGAGCGGCGCACCTCCACCTGCGGCCCCTTTCGCTCTCCTAAGGTGTAAATCTGTGTGTTCTCCTGGCTCTGGGCGTCGTCGCTCAGGGCCTGTCATCCGCAGTTGCCCGTGAACTGTCATGCACAGCCGACCACTCCTGCGTGTCTGGGCGTCACACTCCGAGTACCCGTGGTCCTGGTGGGGCCGTGTGTCACACCTGCCGGCCCGCGCGGGTGCGCAGACGGAAGCTCCCTCTGGAGAACATGACGATTTAGTGCTTTCACAGGGTCTCTATTTCACGGACTTTGAACGGTTTAGCCACGTTGTAGCATTCGTTATCTGGTTTGCGGGGCGTTCGCGGAACCGGATGTCTCCTGTGGGGTGGTGGTGCTCTCAGGAAGTCGGCGGGCACCTGGGGGCCTCCCCAGGTGGAGCTGCGTGGCCTCGGGACACGGCCTCGCCGCGCCTCCACCCGGAGCTCTGGGGGCCTCGCGTCACAGCCACATGATCAGCAGTTGTGCATCGAGTCACGGGTGTCATGGCCTGGTGGTCGGGACGCACTTTTTAGTTCCGCACATTAATTGACTCCTGTAATCCTAACGTTCCTTTCTGTATTTTTAAACGCTGAGCACAATGAAAGCCTTTCTTGAATCCCTTTTTTTCTGGATTACAAAACACGGGGGAAAAAGTGCTGAGAATGTATGCAATAAACACACACATATATATATACGTATATATACACGCACATATACATGCACACGTGTGTCCACGTGCGGCATGCTGGCGTGTTTTCTGTGGGGGGTGTGCGGGCTCCGAGGTCCACATGCCGCTTGTGCTGAGGGACCAGCCGGGAGCCCCTCCCTGGGGGAGGTGTTCGGCCAAGTGGCTGGGCCTTCCCGGGCCCCTGGTGTTTAGCGCCCGTACCGGATCACCAGATGGCCAGCAAGGACTTCGCAGCGTGAAGTCGGCACCCCAGAGGAGGCCACTGTCCTTACTCGGGCTCCCCCCCCCCCTTCCAGGTGGCCAAGTGCCTGGACGACAGCACTTGTCATTGCAGGAGCTGCATGTCTGGCTGCATGTCACCGAATCTGGGCAGCCTTTTCTCCCGTCCCGGGCGCTGGAGGCAGGAGAGTGCCTGGGGCCGTGCGTGGCTGCAGGAGCCCCGCCCCCCTCCCGGCTCCCGTCCTGTTGTGGCAGGAAGAAGGAGGAAGTGACAGGAGGGCTGGGTGAGCCGCGGACAGCCCCACCCTCAGTCTGTCCCCTTCTAATCTGACAAACAGTGGGTTTTGTGGAGACCCCACCCCGTGGGCCACACAGCCACCCCTCGCTGCAAGGGAGTCTGGAAGTGTGAGCATTTTAAAGAGCACCTGCTACCTTTTTCCTAGTCATTTCCTGTGGCCGTGAGTCCACACACAGGTGCCACTGTGCTCCTCCTGCAGGCGCCCGGGAGACCTTGCCTTTTCCAGCCTCCAGAGGCTTCCTCGTCCTTGGCCGGTGGCTCCTCCCTCGGTCCCCAGAGCCTGTGGCAGCCCTAGCCTCCCCCCTCCACACAGAAGACCTCTGAGATTCCCGTGGCTCCCGTTGAATAATCCAGGATAATCTTCCTATTTTAACATCGACCAGTTAGGGAAGCCTGATTCCATGCGCAGCCTTAACTCCGCTGAGCACGGAACCTCGCATTTCCGCCCGGCACGTCTGGGGGCTCGGCCTGCCTGCCTCTGCCAACACGGCCAGGTCCTGCCACTGGGGACGACGGGCCAGTGGTCCCCACACCGTGTGACCGACCCCGGGCTGGGGGCGTCCTCCCCATGGGTCCATGGACCGGCCTCCCTGCCTCCCAGGACTCGGGCTGACCCCTTCGACCCCCTGTGCCCGAGGAGTCGTGCGGGCTGACCTGCTGTGCAGACTGCCCAGGCTGGCTGAGCCCATGCGTCCTTCTTAACAAGCCGCGCTGGACAACTTCATTAACGAGAGACAGATGGTCTGAGCGACAGCCATCGAGCGCCCGCGGCGCCCGACTCTCCAGGGATGTGCCTTGGCCCCGTGGCGTCCTGCGAGCACCTGCTGGCACCCCCCCCCCCCCCCGCAGCCATCTCCTCCTCCCTACTCCTCCTTGATCTCCACCATGCCTGTCCCCCCGCCCCGCCAGGAGCATGGGGCCTTCGCTGCCGCCTGGCCTGTGGGGGAGGGGACCTCCCCCAGCCTGTGAGCCCCCAAGCAGCTGTTCCTCCTCCGGCTCTGTCTGCCCACCTCTGGGAACTTTCTCTAGGGGGGCAGCCCCTTCTCACTCACACCGTGCCCACCCCTACCTCCTCGCCCCTGCAGACGATCCTAGAGATGTTGGAGCACCGTGTCGGGGTCCCTTGCTCTCTGACCCCTCCCCCTTTTGTGCCATGCCTCCTCTGCACTGGCCCCAAACCTATTCCTCTTGCTGTGGGCACCTGCCTGCTGGTCCCTGTCCCTGCGTTCCGAGCCTTTGGAGACCCCAGATTTGCTGCCTCATCTGGATCCCTGGCCCCTGGTGAGCCCCCAGTAAATGGCCTGAATCCCGCAAGGCTTGGGAGAGGTGTCTTCTTGGCCTCCTCACCACCATCATCATGGGCGTGTGCGGCCAGAAGAGACCGTCCCCTCGGGCTTCAAGGTCCCAGGGCCGTGTCTCATGGGGAATAAACTCCCTCTGAGGGCCCAGCCGTGTCCCCTAACTCGCGGCTTCTGCCGTCACAGAGAAAGTTGCACACAGGCTTACCGGGGATAAGTTGTGGTCGTTGGGGTGCAGGCTCATCTGTGATGAGTGCCTCCACATTTGGCTCAGTCAGAAAGAGTTTCCCCTGTGATATCTTTGAAGTAAAGGAAGGCGGCTGGGGGGGCTGGGTAGGTGGCTTGGCTTTGCAGGGTCACCCAAGTGACCCGAGTTCCTTCCGTCTGGTGGCCTGCCATCCCTGTGCAGCAGTCGTGTGCACGTGACCCCCGCCACAGCCCTGCCCAGTCTGCTTACGGCCCACGTGCACCCGGGTGCAGTGGGCTGGGCAGGTGTGCTCTGGCTGGGCCACACCTGGCCGGCTGCCGAGTCAGCGGTAGGTGCGTGCGTGCTTGTGTTTGTCTCTACATCTCTAAGGGAAACCGTAAGGTTCATGACACAAACTTGGTGGCTTTTATAAATTCTGGTCGTGTGTGCGCGTGCACGTGTGTGTGTATGCGTGGTTGTGTGTATGCAAATGTCCATATGTGCGGAAAGGCACGTATTTACACACGAGCACATGTATGCGTGTGAATGTGTGTGTGCTGACGCCACACCCTTGTCAAAACCCAGAACAGTAGGGCACACGACACATCAGATATTTCTATTTAAAAAATGTTTTTAACGTTTATTTATTTTTGAGGGAGAGCCAGCGTGCGAGCTGGGGAGGAGCAGAGAGAGAGGGAGACACAGGATCTGAAGCAGCTCCAGGCTCTGAGCTGTTGGCACAGAGCCTGACACGGGGCTTGAACCCATGAATTGTGAGATCATGACCTGAACTGAAGTCAGACGCTTAACCGACTAAGCCACCCACATGCCCCAGGTATTTCTGTTTTAACCCAGGGTGAGGGACACAAGCCTAGTGCCCACTCGTGGGCAGGACTATTCCCCCATCTCACCTGCCTTGTGCAACCGGCTGCTCATGGACACGCCACCTCAGCTGCGCCCTGAATGGTTTCCGGTTTGGGGACAGGCTTCTGTGTGCGTCACGTGGCTTTCCCTGGGTATTCTGCAGACCCAGGTACCAGGCACTGACTTCTTTCAGCCGGTGCGCCCTGTGTGTGTCCCCGGGGCTGGTGGCCACCAAGCGTGGTGAGCTTCTCGCGCCCTAGAGTGAGCGTGTCATTCTGGGTCCATGGTCAGCAAGGAAAGGAGACAAGGTCTGACCAGACACCAGGGAAGACGCCACTGTGAGAAGATGGGGGTCGGCCCCGGGGGCAGAGGAGAGCGAGCCTGTGCCGAGGTCCCGAGAAAGCAGGGTGCAGAGCCAAGCGGGAGAGGGGCTGCGGGGCAAACGTGGGGCGTGGGTGGTGTTCTGAGGGCCACTAGGAAGCCACGAGGATGTAGAGCCCAGCAGTAACCCTGGTGGATATGCCTTTAGAGGGGGGCGGGGAGGGGGCAGCGGGAAGGAAGGGTGGGAAGGGTCTGGATTGGGCGCCCGCTGGAGGGACTTCTACGGCCCCGGCGCTGCTTGCGCAGAAAACCCGAGAAAGATTCTGGTTCATCAAGCAAATAGGTGTTGAACACGTGGGTGGGACAGGCAGGGTCCGTGTTGGCTGCGGCTTTGATGAGCTGCTGCTCTTCCTCTCCGTGCCATAGCTGCCTTTACGTCGCTCCACAGCCTGCTGCCCTCTGGTCCCCGCGCCTTTGAGACTGTCGGAAGCAAATAAGTAAAGGCCTGTTGAGATGATGCTTAACAGACCTCACAGGCTAAGCACTGACTCCCCTGTCGTGGGTGGTCGTGTTGGAGCCCACCCTTGACCCTTGACTGTCACAGTGGTATGTGGATGGCCTCATGATTTCATTAGACGACTTCCAGGGTAGAGACCGTTGTTACTCAGCTCGTCATGTGCTGGAAGAGGTTCCAAACTTATTTATCTTGGATGCCCTTCCTGTTCGTCAGTCTACGTCCTTCCTTCCCTGACCCAGACGGCTGAGCCACAAGTCGGTGGGGGGGGAGGGTGTTGAGGAGAGTGAGCAGGTGTGGCTGTCAAGCAGCACCACACGGCTCGGATCTGGCTTTCGCTTTCTGGATCTGAGACTTTATCATTCTCGCATTACCACTGACCACATCCCTGCTTGGCGTGGTCCACTTCTTTGTGGTGTCCACTTCCTTTTTTGAACCATGACTCAGGATTGTGTTGGCTACAAGTAACAGGGACCCCACCCCGGACTGGCTCAAGCAAATAAAAAGCATGAGCTTGAAAATTCCAGCGCTAGGATTAGCTTCAGGTGTGGCTGGATCCAGGGGCTCAAGTGTTGTTGGGGTTCCCTGTCTCTACGTGTGAGCTTTGCCTTCCTCTGGGTTGACTGCAGTCTCCGGTGGCTTCTCCTCTAACAGTGGCAGCCTGGATACTAACGGCTCCAACCTGAGTTCCCATGTTGAAGGTCATTGGACCATTTAGATCACATGTGGTCAGGAGGAGAGCATGTGCTGATTGGCCAGTCCTGGGTCACATGATCCCTCGCAGGTGTGGGACCAGCTCTGTCGGTTACAGGAGCTGGGGTGGGGTTGGGCCAGGGTCCCGGAGGAGCATGTGGGCCTCCTTTCAGGAGTGGGGGGGTGGGCAGCCACCAGCCCCTCTGTTTCTTCTCATTGTTCACCGGTGCTGGCCCGCTGCCCTTCCCTCCCTCGCCCCTCCCTCCTGTCTCTCTGCTCCCCAGCCCTGGCCCGGCACCACGTGTCACCTAGAGAGTACGCTGTGGCCTGGTGACTCTTAGGATGGATTTCCAGATTGAGAAAATCGGGGCGGGAGGGAAGTGCTCTGTTTTTCCATAACACAAACTCGGGAAAGTAAAGCCTGGAGATCACGTCTGCCTTTCAGAAGTCTGAGACTCCGAGGAACCTTTAGCTGCCCCGCCCTCCACATCCGAGCCCCCTGCCGGCCCCGTGCTGGCTGGGGCTGGCTGGACAGAAGGCTGGGTGTGCACGAGGGCCCGCCCTTGCTGGGGGGCCCCTTCTTCCTCCCCTCCATCCCCTCTCTCCTC